CCCCACCAGCGGGCAGAACCGGCTGCGGGTGCGCGCCCAGCCGCAGGCGGACTTCGGAGCCTCCGCACCATCCACGGGCGCCACGGGGCTTTGGACGGCCTGCTCCATGGGCGGTGTGCTGTTGGCTGTTGGCGCGGCCGTCACAAGGCGGGCCGAGAGCAAGGAGGTCGTGGCAGAGGCCATCCCCCGGCCCGAGGACCTGCTGGACTCGCCCAAGTTCCCCATGTTCGAGGGCGGCACGGGCGGCTACATGTCCCGCTCCACGCGCGAGAGGCACGCCATCACCTGGACGGCCAAGGGCCAGTTCAAGTTCGAGATGCCCACCGGTGGCTTCGGCATCATGAACAAGGGCGAGAACCTGTGCTACTTCAGGAAGAAGGAGCAGTGCATCGCGCTTGGCAAGCAGCTGCGCAAGATGAAGATCGAGAACTACAAGATCTACCGCCTGAAGAAGGACGGCACCGTGATCTTCATGCACCCGGCTGATGGCGTCTTCCCCGAGAAGGTGAACAAGGGACGTGTGCAGGTGAACGGCCGCCCCTTCACCATCGGTGGCAACCCTCAGCAGGCCGACCTGAAGTTCACCAAGTACCAGGGCAAGTCCTACGAGGCGGACCCCCTGACCACCATGTTCGTCAAGGCCCGCGTCATGGCCTTCGCGGACGTGCCCAACTTGTTCGCGCTGCCCCAGCCCAACATGGACGAGCTCGTGCCCGCCGAGGAGGTGGACAAGTACACCAAGCAGGAGTACACCACCAGGATGATGGAGGCAAGTGGTTCTGCATTTTGGAAGTGTCACGAGCGTGGATCGGTTTTGGAAGCCAGCTTTCTGGACCACTCCCGGTCCAAAGCGCGGCCTTGCGATTGTGAATCTGGATCGCGATCCTAGTTTTCAGCAGGTTCCTGAAAGCCGCCAACCGCCGCCCTTTTACCAGTCGACGGATTTGTCATCTTCAAATCGTTCTCGGACCTCAAACTTCATCCTTTGTTAGAAACCGGCCCAGTGCAAATTGCTTGCTCTCACTCTCTCCATCTATCAACGTCACAGTCTGTTCGTCTAGGTAGCTAGCTGTCAACGGTTTCGGGCACACGTTCACGTTTGTAGCGCAAAAACCAGTCGTTCTCGGGCTGTCATTTGGACACGGCCACCAAAGCCCCGGCCGTCCACGTGTCGTCAACGTGTCGTCGCGGCGAGGCCCTGAAGCGCGTCCAAGACGACCGCGCGGCCAAGGCGGCCAAGAGCCTCTGAGGAGAGGGAGGGTGTAGGAGGGTACGGCATTTGGGGGGTGGGCTGTAAGGATATTTAAGCTTCAATTTATTTCATGTTCTTTCTTTCGGGGTGTTAGAATCCTCGGATTGCGCCATCCCTTTCGGAGTTTAGGTCGTAGTAGGTCTGATTCTTGTGGTTTGAAGCTTCCGGACCAAGCTCCCCGAAGAAAGCTCCATTGCCAGACAGCGTCGCGCACAGTTCGGAGAGCGTCGTTGCGCCCACATCAATCTGACATGACTCGCTTGTGGCTTCTTGCGTCGGACAAGCTCAAGCGGGCGCTTCCATCCGCAGACCGCAAAACCTTCGCCTACCCTCCATGCATTAACCCCTAGAGCCTTTCAAGTTTCAACCAGTCTATCCCATCGGCAGGACCCTGAAAGACTCCGCAGATGGCGACTGAGCTTTTTCAACTGAACATCCGAAACCCGTGCCATCTGGGAGGGGTTGCAAAATGCCGTGGCGGTTCCGCTGCAAGTGGCATGCCATCTAACCATGCGCCCTGAATGGGCCCTCGTAAGTTTCTACGTTTCCAAGCTAAACTGTGTTGAGCCGAGAGGATATTTGTTAACCACTCTTAGCTCTTGAGCCGATTTGCCCTGAAGCCACTTAGGTAACTTGCAGACCATGCTGCTGTCGGCAGTAAACTGAATCTTCCGAGGTGTTCTGATACATCCTGAGTTTTGTCATGAAGGCTCATTCACTCATTGAACAAAGCTGGTGATTCTTTCAGTGCGCTGTCGCTTTGGCTGAGAAGCGGCCGATCCCTTGCCGAAGCAAGCCATCCGAGCCATGTCGTCCATGCCGAGGAGCATGGCCCTGCTGGGCGTGGGCGCGGCCCTGACCATGGCCTGCACGGCCTTCGTGGCCCCAACCAGCGGGCAGAACCGGCTGCGGGTGCGCGCCCAGCCGCAGGCGGACTTCGGAGCCTCCGCACCATCCACGGGCGCCACGGGGCTTTGGACGGCCTGCTCCATGGGCGGTGTGCTGTTGGCTGTTGGCGCGGCCGTCACAAGGCGCGCCGAGAGCAAGGAGGTCGTGGCAGAGGCCATCCCCCGGCCCGAGGACCTGCTGGACTCGCCCAAGTTCCCCATGTTCGAGGGCGGCACGGGCGGCTACATGTCCCGCTCCACGCGCGAGAGGCACGCCATCACCTGGACGGCCAAGGGCCAGTTCAAGTTCGAGATGCCCACCGGTGGCTTCGGCATCATGAACAAGGGCGAGAACCTGTGCTACTTCAGGAAGAAGGAGCAGTGCATCGCGCTTGGCAAGCAGCTGCGCAAGATGAAGATCGAGAACTACAAGATCTACCGCCTGAAGAAGGACGGCACCGTGATCTTCATGCACCCGGCTGATGGCGTCTTCCCCGAGAAGGTGAACAAGGGACGTGTGCAGGTGAACGGCCGCCCCTTCACCATCGGTGGCAACCCTCAGCAGGCCGACCTGAAGTTCACCAAGTACCAGGGCAAGTCCTACGAGGCGGACCCCCTGACCACCATGTTCGTCAAGGCCCGCGTCATGGCCTTCGCGGACGTGCCCAACCTGTTCGCGCTGCCCCAGCCCAACATGGACGAGCTCGTGCCCGCCGAGGAGGTGGACAAGTACACCAAGCAGGAGTACACCACCAGGATGATGGAGGCAGGGAAGGTAAGCATAGAACAACATGTGCCCGAACCGCGCAAGCCCAAAAGCATGGACTCAATCCCGGCAGGCTGAATTTACGTGCACACCCAAATCCCGAGTTCCCGAAGTTTCAAGTGCAATCCCAGGGTTGGGGGTGCACAGGTGGGTGGCTTGTCAGCTTCCCAAAGTTTCCCAAAAAGCCGGTGGCGCTCCTGGATCTCAAACGGCCTGTCTTGCCGTTTAAGGACTGCTGATCCAAGCTAAGACTCTTGACTATGCCTCGAAAGAGTGTTTCCCGAAGTTGGAAAGTGCCTCTTCGTACCTTTCCTACACCCACCCTTTCTTTTCCAATTGACCAATTGACCGCTGGCCTTCCGGCCGAACCTCTGGTTCGCTAACTCTTCCCTCTTCGGGATCTCTGGAAGCTTAAGTTATTGGCTAGTCGGCGGGGAAAAGATCCGAGGACACTTGCGGTAGAAACCCAGTTTTTAAGGTATCCGTAGTATTCATCGTGTGTTGAAGTTGAGAAATATGGGGCAAGGCGACTCCAGGACGCGGGCTTCGGAGCCGGTTTTTGATTCCAGCCTTCGTGGGGTTGATTTTGGCTTGAGCTCTTGGGATGGTATATGGATGGTGGTAAACTTCTATGTTTTTTTTTCACCAGGTGTGCGCTCCTGAGATGCGTGCGTGCCGGCATGCTAGAGTTAAAGTTCTCTTGGCCAGGAAAGCTGGATGTGGGGTCGTTACTGGAGTAGGCGTTGTGCATACTCGTAGCGGGCATTCGTAGTGTCACTGTTGGGGTTCTGCTGTCAAGGAAGGACGAAACTCTAAGGACATCCACACTTATGCGCAAATCTGTCGTACGTCGTACACGCTCCGTAAAAGGGCTCCAAGCACGCAGATGTTTTGTGAGCTTTTCGCAAGTCTTCGGTTGGATGGGCTGGTTCCACGACCATCCAGGACCCCAAACGCCAGAATGCTGTTGCCCAATCCCCTTGAACGCCAATCCTTACGGAGCGAGTTCTGAGTGGACCTGCGCCACGCAGGCTCTCAAGCGCGTTCAGGACGACCGACACCCGGCTGATGTTGCTGTCCGAGTGCCTTCATGCCCTACCCCCAAAACCTTTTGGAACCCCAACTCACCTAAAACCGCTCAACCCTCAAAGCATCTCAGCCCCGGGCCCAAAGAACCATCCCAGTCTTCGCTTGATTCAGCCCAGGCGCGGCCAAGGCGGCCAAGAGCCTCTGAGCGGCCAGAGCTGTTTGCATCTGGAGATCTCTGGCAGTTCGGCCAATCCCGGCTGTAGGGGTCCTTCGGGGTACTTGCATGTGTCGGCTGTAGGCTAAAGGCTCAGCGTGTGGGGTAAATGAGGTAAGTGCGATGTAGGACGTCGGCTAGGTCTACTCAATGTCTGTATAAGGTGCAACACAGGGCAATCAATGCCCAATGAAAGATGACAGAGGAAGGGTTGGAGAAACACTGAGGATAGTATTAGTAGGGCCTAGGTCTGAGGAGACTGGAAACGGCCAGATCTGCTTCAGACCCTTGCCGAAGAAAGTGTGAAGAGGCCGTTTTTAGAAGGACTTGCAGGAAGCTCGGCACTGGCAGCATGGAGATATACCCTTTACCTTTCCAGGCCATAAGCCCTGAAATCCGTGACGCCTCGTTGCCCAAGCTCGTTGGTGTGCAGGGCTTCCTGCAAGTGTCGGACCCTGCCGGAGCGAACCCGTCAGGAGAGAAAGCCCGTCCGAGTGAGGGGGCATAGTGTATACGACAGGCCGAGTTATCTTGCAGATGCCACCTTGAAAGCTTCTTACGAGCAGAGCAGGTTTTTGAAACAACGACTTGTGCATCTTCACTCTTAGAACGAAGTGGCACGCGGACTGGGAGCTGGTGACGGGAACCCTAATACTTCAAGGTCCTATCATGGCTGTACTGTCACAGTACTTTGACATCTCAACAAGTGCCGTCAACGGATTTGGGGCTGAGGGCCTTCGTTTTTGTTCCTTGCTTTAGGGGCCGGCACTGAAGGTCTCAGAGGCTGCGCCCTGCATGCAAAGGTCGGCAGAGTTGGGGCTGCAGCGGGTTCGAAAGCCCACCTTTGCTGCCATGTCGTCCATGCCGAGGAGCATGGCCCTGCTGGGCGTGGGCGCGGCCCTGACCATGGCCTGCACGGCCTTCGTGGCCCCAACCAGCGGGCAGAACCGGCTGCGGGTGCGCGCCCAGCCGCAGGCGGACTTCGGAGCCTCCGCACCATCCACGGGCGCCACGGGGCTTTGGACGGCCTGCTCCATGGGCGGTGTGCTGTTGGCTGTTGGCGCGGCCGTCACAAGGCGGGCCGAGAGCAAGGAGGTCGTGGCAGAGGCCATCCCCCGGCCCGAGGACCTGCTGGACTCGCCCAAGTTCCCCATGTTCGAGGGCGGCACGGGCGGCTACATGTCCCGCTCTACGCGCGAGAGGCACGCCATCACCTGGACGGCCAAGGGCCAGTTCAAGTTCGAGATGCCCACCGGTGGCTTCGGCATCATGAACAAGGGCGAGAACCTGTGCTACTTCAGGAAGAAGGAGCAGTGCATCGCGCTTGGCAAGCAGCTGCGCAAGATGAAGATCGAGAACTACAAGATCTACCGCCTGAAGAAGGACGGCACCGTGATCTTCATGCACCCGGCTGATGGCGTCTTCCCCGAGAAGGTGAACAAGGGACGTGTGCAGGTGAACGGCCGCCCCTTCACCATCGGTGGCAACCCTCAGCAGGCCGACCTGAAGTTCACCAAGTACCAGGGCAAGTCCTACGAGGCGGACCCCCTGACCACCATGTTCGTCAAGGCCCGCGTCATGGCCTTCGCGGACGTGCCCAACCTGTTCGCGCTGCCCCAGCCCAACATGGACGAGCTCGTGCCCGCCGAGGAGGTGGACAAGTACACCAAGCAGGAGTACACCACCAGGATGATGGAGGCTGGAACGAATGCTTTCAGCTTTGGTTACGATTCGGGCGGCTCTAGGATGTCTTTGAGGCTAATTAAAGCTCTGCGGTTTTTGGGTGCAGATGTGTGAGGGTGGATCTGGCTCACGGTTTGCAGGTGCAGTTGTTTGAGAACTGGAGAGATTTCACAGGGAAGCGGGCGCCACTTGTGGGGCTTAAGGCTTCAATGTGCGTGCCGCCTCCAAAGACTCTCACGTCGTTCACCTGTTCCTTGGAGCTGTCCCGCCTCCCTTCCCCATCCCCCCACAGTAACGAAAAAACCCTGCTGTGCACTGTTTGGACTTTCCCACGACCTTCTTGGGGTTTACGACCGAGGATGTTCAGGGCTTAGGGCGAGTTTCTCGGAAAAAACGTCCGGAGAAGACTCAGAAGAGCAGCGCTCCTTCTTTGCGGCGTCCAGGCCCTGAAGCGCGTCCAGGACGACCGCGCAGCCAAAGCGGCCAAGAGCCTTTGAGCCAGGCAGTGCGGCTCGTGCACCTGTTCTCATCTGTTCTCCATTGCTTCTTTCTGTGATAGTGACAAGCAATTTCTGATAATCAGTATCAGTTTCTACGGTCATGATTAAGTTTCATGATCGTTTCCGACCTTCCGTGCGTGCTGTTCTCCTTGATGAAGGGATGAAAGCCAGTGCCCGGGCAAGGAGTGCCCCACCCCGAGGCAATCCCGCAGAGCAACTCTGGAGTGCCCAATCCAAGATGATCCTTGGGGTGCCCATCAAATTGCTTAGCTTAAGCATTGACAGCAACAATCTCAACAGCAGTATCACCCACAATGACACGGGGGGTGGGAGGGGGGCGGGGAGCGGAATTAGAAGAGCTTACAGTAGGAGCCTGTTGCAATCGAAGGCAGCAAGTTGACCACCCTCTTCTCGTTGGGCTTTTCTCTTCCAAGCACTTCCAAATTCAGTTCGCGGTCAGATTGCTGTAAAAGGAGTGCAAGTCGCAACCTATGTATTTTTTTCGTGTTTTGCTGTTCTACGATTCTACGATCAGTGTGTGGAATTGCAATTACAGTGGAGACAGCCTGAGGTTTGTGGAGTGGTTGAAAGCGTAGCTTGGTAAACACGACTCCCCCTAGCACTGATCTCTGTCTGGTGCAGTGGGGTCCATACGCCGAGCTACAGCCAGACTTGTGAGCACAGCTGTGCAGGAGGCAAAAGTTCGCAAGGCCCGAATTTTTATGCAGCCGCTCGGCGTGCATGTCGATCAGGGAAAGAAGGGCCAGGGCTTCGCATGAGCTTTGTCCGTTGCCACGCAGATGCCTGGAACCAGATCTGCTAGTAGGCAAGCCCAGCAGAGGGTAGACCCTTTGTGCATTGAGTGGACCTTAGGGTTCGTGCAGGGGTTGCTTGGTAGGAAGGTTCCGAACCAAGAACATGTCGCTAAACTCTCAGCGTGCCACATGGTTTAGTAAGCCAAGTTGATCCTCCAGCCGAAAAAAGGCACGGGCCCAAGCATGGCACAGGAGCCACCCAGCCCAAAAACGGTCGAACAAGAGCCGCTGCCGAACCCTGCGCGAACCCAGAAAAGAGCCTCACACAGAGAGAGACACGGAGAAAAGGGCTCCTCGACCCTCGAGCCCAGCAGAAAGAGAGAGAGAGAGAGAGAGAGTGAGAGAGAGAGAGCTATGTATATATGTATATATGTATATATGTATATATGTATATATGTATATATGTATATATGTATATATGTATATATGTATATATGTATATATGTATATATGTATATATGTATATATGTATATATGTATGTATGTATGTAGACGTACAATGATACTAAATGGTGTGAAATGTGAGAACCGTTTATGTGCACACAGACATACATATACATATCTCTCCTAAGCAGCCCAGGATGCGCCTCGGACTGCGTGCTTCTCGGCGCGTCTCGCCTCTATGGAGAGGTCGGAGGGCGGGGAGGGGGGGTGGTTGGATGGGAGGGAACCAAACTTTTGTTTGGGTTGGACGGTATGTCTGCATCGACGGCTGAAGCGTACCTTGAGAATTCTCATGAACAGCATGCAAGACATGGCGAGATACACCAACATGAACAACTTGGTTTCGGGAGTTGCGCAGGTCAAGGCGTTGCTCAGGACAGGTGTAGCCGCAACTTCAAACGAGAAGGGTGTGCTACTTGAGTGCTTCTGCTCTTTCTCTTGCGCTAGCTCGAAGATGGTGGAGTGGTCCACCATGGTCCACCCCTCTTGCGCTGCTCATGACAAAGGGGAGTCGCGCCCGACGCCACGTGGAGTGCTTGGCTCCGCTCCCTTCCGGTCCCTTCCGGTCCGAGCCTGAACTAATAATAGGGCTTCAGGCTTCAGCCCCAGATGGACAAACCCTCAAACCTTAAGATCCCTGAGCCCATCGAGAAGCGTTTAAGCAAGCGTTTGATAGCCTTTCATCTTTGGCATGTTTAGCGTGAATCGGGCTCCCCAAGTCCCCCACTCGCAATATCTCATGTGTGTCCGTACGTGTCTGATCAAAGGCACAGAACATTGGAGGCTCGTAGCTCCCTGAGAAGAAAAATTTGCCTTTGCATGCAGGTGGAGTTTTTGGTCCCATGCGGGGGATCTCAGGCACTGAGCCCGGCTGCTTGGGGGGGACGTCGCCAGTGGACGCCCGCGCAAAACGGCCGTGCGACAGTATGTACATGTATATGTATATATATATATATATATGTGTGTGTATATATATGTGTATATGCAGAATATCTTATGAAGAAACCCCGGTACAGGATAATCTCATCTATAATGCAGGTTTGCAAAGACAGTTCTAAAGCGTCTGCAGAGGGTAAGCCCCCTGTTTGCTGTGCCAACGCCGTGTCTTGAAGTTGACGTACAGTCGATTCACGGCATGGCTTCGGAAAATATGTCTATAAATACTTTTATGCCAGGCTCACGAGGCCAAAGTTCATGTAGCCATAGCCCCTAACCTGAAATCGGAAAAGCAAACCACAGTCCTTCCCAAGCCCGAAACCCGATCATTGCAAGATCAAAGGACTTCAGAAGAATCGTGGGTTCTAGCTCCGGCAAGTCTATGCTCCACGAAGGGTCAGAGGCCCTTGCTGTTTCATCAGTTGCTTGGGTTTGAGCTCCACAGCTCATAGAACTTCTCATGCCCCAGATGTTGGGAGGCACTGGGGCTTGAAGCGGTATCCAAAGTGCCACAACACAGCCGTTGCAAAACTTGAGCCCGCAGCCACAGTTGTCACCGAGGCACCCCCTTAAACTGCCCTGAACCCCCGAACGCCCACTTGTCAACAACACGACAGCAATTGCGTCTTTTTGTTTGTGCTGCAGCCCCAAACGGGGCTCCCGACTGCGGCGCCGGGGGGGTGGCGGTGCTGCTCGGGCAACGAGGCGGGAACCGCAAGTGTCTGCGTCTGTTTTTCATGTGTTTTTGATTTTTTTTGTCTCTGTCTGTGTGTGTGTGTGTGTGTGTGTGTGTGTGTGTGTGTGTGTGTGTGTGTGTGTGTGTGTGTGTGTGTGTGTGTGTGTGTGTGTGTGTGGGTGGGTGTGTGTGTGTGTGTGTGTGTGTGTGTGTGTGTGTGTGTGTGTGTGTGTGTGTGTGTGTGTGTGTGTGTGTGTGTGTGTGTGTGTGTGTGTGTGTGTGTGTGTGTGTGTGTGTGTGTGTGTGTGTGTGTGTGTGTGGGGGATTTTGTCGGGTCTAGTCAGTCTAGTCATCATCTCGACTCGATCATTTCGAGCGGCATTGCTCCTATATATGGTTCCGTGTCCCGTGTCGGTACCCCCCCGCCACCCCCCCCCCCATGGTATCCCCCCCCCCCCCCACCCCCCCTAAACCCTAAACCGTAAACCCTAAAACCCCAAAAAAACCCCTTAAACCCCTTAACCCCTTAAACCCCTTAAACCCCTTAAACCCCTTAAACCCCTTAAACCCCTTAAACCCCTTAAACCCCTTAAACCCCTTAAACCCCTTAAACCCCTTAAACCCCTTAAACCCCTTAAACCCCTTAAACCCCTTAAACCCCTTAAACCCCTTAAACCCCTTAAACCCCTTAAACCCCTTAAACCCCTTAAACCCCTTAAACCCCTTAAACCCCTTAAACCCCACCCCTTAAACCCCTTAAACCCCTTAAACCCCTTAAACCCCTTAAACCCCTTAAACCCCTTAAACCCCTTAAACCCCTTAAACCCCTTAAACCCCTTGAACCCCTTGAACCCCTTAAACTTAAACCCTAAACCCTAAACCCTCAACCCTCAACCCAAACCCCAACCACACCACCCCACAGGCGGGCCCAAACCACAGGGGGGCGGGGCGGGGACCCTAAACCCTAAACCCTAAACCCTAAACCCTAAACCCTAAACCCTAAACCCTAAACCCTAAACCCTAAACCCTAAACCCTCAACCCTAAGCCCTAAGCCCTAAGACCTAAACCCTAAACCCTAAACCCTAAACCCTAAACCCTAAACCCTATACGGGGGCAACCGAAAGGGGACCAACCAGGGTATCAACCCTCAACAGTTGCCTGAATGAATTCCCCAGAACGAACCAGAAAGACAAACACACAGGGTTAGAGTTCACCAGGTCAAAGGAAGGGGCACCCTTACACAGGCAGAGGGGCGCTAACCCAACCCTCACTCCCAAACACGAACTTTTTCCTTTGGACGGGCTGGCCATCCTTGAGCCAGAAAGGTTACCGGGTTCATTGACCCCTTTTCCTTCAACACCAACTCCTTTCCTCAATAATACAAACTGCAGCTCCGCACTCCCCCTGTGCTAGGATTTCCTAGGACACAAACTGGAGGTGCAGACTTTTGGCCAAAAGCTGCCATTAAGGCAGCAGCCAGCTGCTTGAAATGCATGTTATGGTTTAACGTCATCCAGGACGAATTTATAGCACATTGGCTAAACACCTTTTACCATAGAGAATCTTTTTACCACCATGATTCTCTTGTCATTGAAGACTCTTCAGCCTTCTTCACCACGAACCGTGGTCTTCGCTACGCAAAAGGCTACGAACTCTCTACTATCAGGGATTTCCATACCCTTAATAGTAACCACCATACTTTCAGCACACTGGCTGTTCCAGCGCACTTGTCTTCAGAAAGAGAAAAACCATTCCCTCATCAATACCATCCAGTCATCCCTTCTTCTTCTTCCGATGGGCATCGATGCTGAGGTGAAGTCGCAGCAAAACGCGCTCCAGGTCCGACACTGTAAGAACAGGATCCTGCACACACCTTTGAATTGAGGATACCAATCCTTCTCTCTTCGCGTCCTCAATTGCTTGGCGAGATTGACCCAGCTCTGCATCCACAGTGGTAGATGCTTGCGCATCCACTTCAGAGGAACGATCCTTTTCCTCAGGACCTTTCACCACTACCACCTCTTCCTTCTTGGGGCTTTGACTTTTCTCTTTCTTTTTCGTCTTTCCCGAGACGCTTGCCTTTGTGCGCATTCTCGAAGAGGCCTTTTCCCCTCCAGAAACCACC